CCCCCCTCCCCCTCCCCCTAACCATATCAGTATAATACCACTTGTATAGACTTACAATGTTTATCAAATTAATGTTTAGTTGCATGTCCCCCCTCCCCCTCCCCCTAACCATATCAGTATAATACCACTTGTATAGACTTACAATGTTTATCAAATGTTACACCATCTTCCATGAAGGGTTCAAAGTCATCACGATGGTCCTTCATATACTGAACGGTATTTCTACGATGATAAGCATGAGAAGTATGATCTCCATTCAGCTGGTCCCCAAGAGCTCGAAACAGGCAGTTTCTAAACAAGATTTCATATTGTTCTAATTAATATATTTATTGCTTTCAATGATTAAAACTACCAGATAAACGTCTTGAAAGTAATAAAATGTTCCTACACTTACCCATCGCCTAGAATATCTTTAATCTTCAGTCCAACAGCTTCTAACTGGTTCTTGAAACTAACAAAGTTTTCGTCATTTTCAAGATATTCTTTGATATTTCGTTCTTTCTTTAGTGCTTTTCTTCGACATCTCTCGTCTCTCTTTCTTTCCAATTCATCTCGTTTTTGGCCCTTTTTTTTAACTGTATTTCCTTTGGCCATATATATCTAAAAACTTACTTTTTTCAGTGGATTATACAATTAACTGTTCCAACAAAAACATCGCACAACTTGGAAGGAACTTTAACTTGTTGTGGTGCAATACAGAAACCGCTGACCGTGACAAGACACAGGAAGCCCAAGCCACAGGACGTAAGAACAAACACATTCATGCATGTTTTCACATTACTTATTTATAATTTTGTCATCACTCTCAGAAGGGTGTTGGTAAACCGAGGATTGATGGACCACGGTACGGAGGAACAAGCGGAACATAAATTGTAATCGCCTGAAAGTTACAAAAAATATACTATCAAAAAATTCAGTAGGTATAAGTTTTAGGTCACCCATCCTGGTACTAACTTCGCCCAACCGGACTTGACTCAGCGTCATTGAAGCCCAAGTTTTTTCCACTGGGCCATGCTTCCTATTGAATTTGCATAACAATAGCCGTGAATACACTATACTTTTTAACATCAACTTTTCAACCGATTCCGTGCGTGGCAGAGATGCAAGGGATTAGCCGATATGGTCTGGGGGCCGGCTGGTCTCTCCCCTGATGCTTCGGCTAGAACATTTTCTTGCGTAATTCGTACACCCAAGGGCAGAAGGATTTAATCGCCGTCAGGTCCGAAGTCCATACGACGCCCCAGCTCTGCGGATGTCTCGGGGGTATGGCAACCTTGGAATCAATTTTTTTTTTTTTTTTTTTTTTTTTAAATTTCTGTCTTTGGGTTCGAATCCCACCGTATACAGATAATATTTTCTTTTTTAAAAGAATATTATCTTGAATTCAAATTTGGCAGCAGTGACTACTTAATTCATTTCATTTTCTTTTCATATTCATCATTCTGAATTGAATGCTGCCTGGGAACAGTTTACTGGCAAGACTCTTTTACTCCGCCAATTGAATTCGATTCGCGGTATTGAAATCCATAAGAATTCGATCTTGTTGAGAAATGTTGGAGAATTACAATAAACTCCTATAAATAAACTAAACCTTTTTCTGAGACTGTTCCGCAGGTCCTGTCGTTCCGTGGTCCGTCAATCCGCGGTTTAGCAACACTTCACTCAGAACACTGATATGTGATAGGTGACTCTGGATGGCAATGGAAAAAAGCTGGGGTGTTTTCCTCCACCAATATTTACAGGGCCTCAACTTATTCGATACTTTCATTCTTATGCTATATCGCATTTTTTTTGTTTTATTCACTACGTCGAATGGAAATATGACGGCCAACTTGAATGACTATTGTTCTGGGCTGACTACGCTTGAAACGCTTTCATGTTTCCACGTATCGATCAATATTCATTGATATTAATGAGCATCTATTTTTTCAATCGCGCGTCCTTTCTTGAAAGCAGCTGATGCTCCAAAACTGAGCCAAGTAAACAGAAAAAGTGAAACGATAGATATGTATTCTATATAAAATATATACAAGCATATTTTCCATTGCACATTTTTCATCGTGTTATCTGAGGGAATGTCCATGACACAATGAAATGAACATCTAAACATAAGAGGATCCCGCAATCATTCTTTGATGGCGACATATCCAAAGTCGGTCGTTTAAAACTACAACAACAACAACAACAACAGCAACAAAAAAACGATAAATATATCTAAGATTAACATTAGCTTTCTTGGGCCTACTAAAGCGACGCTAACACAGTTTGTGCATCGATAGGGTCATCACGTGGCAAATATTTGCTATAAGTTATCAACCAATCAGGAACGTTCAAAGGACTTTGCTGTATAGTTATTTAGTTTGACATTTGATAGAAAATACATTAGTTACAAAGTACTTTATCGAATAGAAGAGAGGTGCAAATCGATCTTACAACAGCTGGGTTAAGATTTCCTTGGACCAGAAACGTACTATCCAGATCTTAAATAATCTCAGTCAAATCTGCAAGTCAGTATCTTCAGGTACAACCAACGAAAATTCAATAATTTTACCTTTTTATTTACGAGATTTTAAATACCGAAGTAAGTAAAGCGGGATGGGATATCCGTAAGATACTAATATTATTTTCGCGTTTCTTCAAATATGTTTTGAAAAACCTACAGTTTATATTTCTCAGCTTGGATTCTCATTTTTTATCGATAATTATCGTCAGTGACGCAGATGAAAAATTCCATCAAATAAGAAGCAGTTTTGACTTTTTACTTATTAAACAATCCTTTTTCCTTCTCGTGCGTCACCATAACTAATGTGTTCTGTGCATGTTCACAACAGCTACAGCTATATCGAATTGAACTTAATTTTCTTTCCTCGGACAACCGAAAAGAATTCCACGTATACAGTTATATATTTTTTAGCAATTTATAAATGGTTTAATTTGTTCCTGATTCACTAGCTTTAGACCGAGGATTACAACATAAGCACTGAGCAGAACGTGACATGGCTGCAATACAAGGTAAAGAATCTACGGCATACAAACAACAACATGAAGAATGTTTGGAAGATCGAGTCGAAGCAATGGCACCAAAATATCATCAGAACTTTTTCACCACCTTTGATGATGACGATGATGATGAGGATCAGTTTATGTCTCAGCTGATATCAACAGGGAAAGATCCACATAATCACAACATCGAAGTTGAGCTTGGGAGAGATGAAGAGCGGCCTAAAAGGCCCAACATGACAGAACGAACTGGACGCGGTGATCCTGGAATGAAGCCAGTCCACCCTTTGCCTTTCATTAAGATAGACTTAAACAATAATTACAGAAACTGGGAAACCATTTTTGGTGGGTTAAAAGAAGCAAATGTTTGTGATGTTGATTGGAGCTTGAAGACTCATGAGCCAGTACACGATGACCCCGGTTTTCTGCCACCAGATCTGCCGTCAAGTAAAGCAGGTACTACGTCCATCACAGTATTTGGAGCAGATATTAATGATATACCAACTTCATATGATGTTCCTGGATTAGGTGTTCACGAGCTGGCTGTCGTGGGAACGTTTGTTCATGGGATGATTATACCAGGGTTTCCATATCGTGTTCGTCTCAATGGATCCAACGAGTATCTCTTTGAAGGAAATGCTCTAGTCCTGGAAGCCATTGGTCAAGGATATGGAAAACGTTTAACGTTTGAGTGTGATGATCTTCTTAACAACAAGAATTTCTTCTGGTCTGATAATAATCCTCCAAGTGGTTATGCCTTGTCTATCAAGTTACCGATGATAGAAGGAAAATATACAGTGAAGAATAAAGATGAGAAGTCCATTGGAAGCTTTACAGTCAAGGCAGTGGATGACCATCAAATCATCCAAAGTGTGCGATGTTTGCAGGATGGTATTCAGATCGAGGTTCGAGTGAAGATGTTATGTTATTCAACCAGTTTCCCAAATATGGATACATCAGAGGGGATTCTGGGAGGAGTTGCTATAGCAACAAGAAAGAGAAGAAACATTCAAGTAGAACGTATCAAGAATGTCCACATTGCTGGTATCAAAGACTGCTGTCAGTTGATAAAGTCAAATGACTAAATAATGAAAGTATCCTGAGTAGATTTCTTTGACTTGGACTTTTTTTTTTTTTTTTTTTTGCTTACCACTGATCGTTCCGATCATTACATCTGGAATACTGTATTCTATTTAGTATGGGTTAGGGCTAGAAAGCACCGAGGCCGGAGACAAAAGCACTTGATGAGTTTTTTCTTTTAACAAAGCGACTAAAACGGAATTAATGACCTTTTATATTCCCGTCTGAAAAAGTAGTCTCAGTGGGTTATCGAATTAAATACAATTATAAAAAGTATCTAGATACGTACTGTATGTAGATACAGATTCTTTGCGAGATGCATGATAATTCATCAGTTTCCTGTGGGGGAGAGGGTAGGGATAAAATGATGCAATACTAAAACAATACGAATCTAATAAACTGGGCCATTTGAAAAACACACTTATAAAAGAAAGAATTGTTTTGGTATAACTATACGTAATAGATGTCGTAGAAATTAAGATTCAAATCATAATAAATCTCTTTATTGTTGCATGACTGCGTTCAGTTATCGACACGTACTTTGCCTTGATTGTGACGTGTGAAGAAACCATGGTTTTAAACTCGACCCAAAAGAACGCAATATCTTTATTTTTGTTTTGCTGGTTGCTGATATGTTTACTGGCTAAATATCTTTTTGCTTTATAATTGAAGCCAATAAAGCTAGTCTTGCAATTGTTTTTTTATTCTGCTAGTTCTTTCGGTGCTGTTTGCAATCATTATTGTGAAAGAGGTAGATTAAAGAGCATCTGAATAAATTAGTGGTGTGGAAAGACTGCAATCTCTAAACTGATTTACATATCTACTGAAGTGTTACAGCACCCTGCTTCAGTATGATGATACATGATAGCGCTTTAGAATTCCGTTCTTAGTTTTGCTCACTCCTCGAGTTTGTTAGTGCTGCCAGAATCCATCGTAACCTTATGCTGGTCGAAGATGATGGATTTTGACAAATTACTTTTTCATCAAGAGTAAAATCACGACAGACCATTCATGAAACTATGAGTAAAAGTTATAAAGGATTCAAGTTGACTGCCTACTTGCTTGGGTTCTTGGTCTTGATATCTTCTTCTAGCAAAGCCGATATACAGTATGAGGGTGATAATTACGGTAAGAATTTAGAAGAGTGTAAAACAAGATACATGTGAAAAAAATTACCAACTATGTAAGGTATGAAGGCTGAAGTAATTGTTTGCTAAAAATCAAAGCGTAAAGTATGTCTATTTTACACGTATGATTTTACATTGCTAAATATTCATACATTCGTTACAAAAGATGTGTAAAGCAAAACTCGTCACATAAAACGGCTCGAATTCACTTCTATTCTATTGGACAGTTTTATCTGAGTAACAATCATCAACTTCAAGATTAGCAAAGTAACATCACCACCTGCATGAAAACAAGTGCCATACACTAGAGTTTCATGAAATATTTAGCCTCAGGACTGATGAACTGAAACACAACATTTTAGCTACCTTTCGCTTTTTGGTTTCAATGCGGAAATCAATAATGATTTTAATCAAGATATTAGAACATTCACTTTCATAAATCCTTGATCGTTTAAAGGATATCACGGTTCCATATCATGATAAAGACTGATAAACCACATTATATATTCTTCCCTGGCTAATTCAATACGTGATCTTGTAGAGGCGGTTAGCGCCAATATCATTATCAATATTATTATTAGTGCTAATAACTGACCACAATCTTCTGATAAGAAAGAGTAATGTATTTATCGTTAAACCACAATTTAGAATCAAGTAACCCACAGTCTACAAGACTCCATTACTTAACTCGTCAAAGCCTAAATGCACTAATAAGCTTTCTTAGGCAAAATATACAGAGCAGTGAATATTCCTTTCCAGCTCTCCAATCTATCCCCTCCCCCTCACAACGGTT